TAGTGGTAATATGTCATATATAGCCATTTACCCAAGCTTTTTAAAAATACATCTTAGAATGAAAAAAGCAGGACACTGTAGCTGTTTACTGTCTCCATCCACATAAAGGTGAGAGGTCAGCCTGACATGGATTCAGTCCCATCTCTCTGGTGGGCGCTCTCTGACATGGTGGTTTGAACCCTCGCTAACCTGTCAAAAGTCACTTTGCACCATTTGTTTGGAAGCCTGTGCCATGAGACCAATAGTCTTGCTCACTCTTCATCTACAACAGGGGATGTGCTAATGGTAACACAATTTCAGCTCAGTCAGCCTATGATTTCCCCTCTGAATAGACCCTATTATCTCACTTTTGTGCATCTACTGGCACTCGCCTGCTCTCACACCTCCACAGCAGAGGTGGAACTCGCTGAATTTTGCTGAATAATTTAATTACATCCTGGCAGTCCAGAGGGAGGGCCTTGTAAAGAGGCCAAGGAGCAGCAGCGAAGTCAAAGGCGATTTATTCTAATAAATCCAACCATCTGTCCACCTCTGTGCTTATGTGAATATCTTTTTGTCTGACTTTCTGCCTCTCTGGTTGTATTTATATATTTAAGTGGCTGCATTTTTCATTATTGCCCACTTTAGGGAGTATCTCATCTGCAAACACTGTTACAGACACTTTCAGCAATTAACACCATTCTTCTGTTGTGAAGAACTGGATGAATCACAAGGCAAAAAAATGGCTGTTTGTCATTGTTGGAAATTACAGTCTGCTGATTCAGTGTCAGATGCTCCTCCTTGTGTGTTCTTTCTAAACACTGCTAACTCCTCACTCCTTCCATCCTAATGGGTGAATCTTTGTGACCTCACTTAATAGCCATCAATTACTAGAATTTTATGAGCTAATTTAACCAAAGAAAAACTATCTATAAACAGGATAAGAGTCAGAGATGTTTCTATATTTGTACACGGTAGATTTTTTTAACACGTCAACCAAAACTGTTTGCTTTTTTTGTTTGTTTTTTGCCCTTCAGGATCCATCAAATGCAGCATTCAGCTGTGTGTGTGTGTGTGTGTGTGTGTGTGTGTGTGTGTGTGTGTGTGTGCGTGTTTGTGTGTCTGTTGTGGCAACGATGAAGACTGGCATCAGAGCTTCTGAGATGACAAAAGCTATTTTTAGAGCATGGCAGCCACAAGCCTACTTGGACTTAGCGGAAAGGAGGTGAGAGAGGGAGAGGCAGAACACAGAGATTGGGAAAATAAAAAGGAAATATGTGAGGAGAGGACAGAAAGAAAAGGGACGACTGAACAAGCTTTGGAATGTAGCGGAAGATCTGTATTGGAAAGATACCATGGGCAACAACCTGGTCTCACAGTGCTTCCAACTTTTCCGTCTTTAAATGAATGAATAAATGAAGTCCTGTTCCTTTGAATCTCAATAGTTCCAGTTAAACTCCGGCGGGGACTTTTATACAACAACAAAAAGGCTAAAACCCTATTCGTTCAACAAGAATAATTCATGTTCTGTTCTCAAACTTGGCTCCTGAGATGCTTGTGGTAATTTTAGCTCAGGTTGGAGCTAGCTTCTACTGTCATTTGAATTTGCAATCAAATCATAAAAAAGAGTAAGTGAAAATGTAAAATTTGAAAAATAAACTTGCATTAATTGGCAAAAAGAACCATACACTCCCTACGAACTGGGAGGATGACAAGGATAAAACGACGGTCCAGCTGTTTTGATTTGAACTTGTAAACAATACACTCCCACGGCCAGTATCTTCCCAGATATGATATCAGATCCCCAAAAATTCCTTAGTCAAATAATTCCTTAAGAAGACCTCTCTACATTGTCTTCGTTTTGTTTTTTTAGCATTGAAGACACTGTGGCTCTTGGTTAAGAGCAGTTGCCTGCCAAATTGCGGGTGGGTGGTGTCGAGTTGCCCTTAGGCAAGACATTGAACCCCCAGTTGCCTGCAATGCAGCCCAAAATGGGTGTCCTGTTCCAAGCCCGGAAAAATACCAGAGTTGTGTCAGGAAGGGCATCCGCTGTGAAAACTTCTGCCAAAACTTACAATGCAAGGCAATGCTGACGTGCAGTGTAGACCCCTAATGGGAAAAGAAAAGCAAAGAGAAGGATTTAAGACATCTATTGAGCCTAGTTTATTTGTTTGTCCAAAAAATATCCCTTCATATTCCCTTTGACTGTCAATAGAAGCTTAACTTGGTCAAACATACAGTGTAAAGTTAGGCTAAACATAATCACTCAGAAGTGAACTGGATAGGAGAGAGATAGCAGAGAGTATGGAAAATCCCCAAATATAGCTCTGCAGCTGCATACTGTCATATGATCAACAATTTACTTCCCTTGCTTGGTGTATATTTGTAATGTTTCATAACCTTGATCGTACAGACACATGAAAAAATATTTGAGTTTAGATTTTGTGATTAGGAGTTATAGCATTGTGATGCTTGTGAAGTGCTTATGTTTCATTATAGAAGTCCTGGCTGGCCTTGTAAAGAAAAAAATGTGTGCACAAAGCTATGTTTCTCTGCTTTATGGTAAAAGTTCAGATTTTCACAGTCTTGGCGTTATGTTAACAAAAAAATATGTGTGCTAAATCATGTCAGTGGCAACGGTAGGGTCATAGAATGGTCCAAATTCATGATCGGGCGTTTTTAATCGGTGTTTGGTGCCCCCTTGGTACTCCGGCTTACTCCTCCCAAGTAAAAACATGCCTGTGAGATTAACTGGTTACTTCAAATGAACCCTTGAAGTTAGTGTACATGGTTGTCTCTGTGTGGCCGTGTGAAGGACTGGGGACTTGTTCAGGGTGCCCTGCTACTGACTGCTGGTATAGCCACTGTCCCCTGACCCCACCTTGCGGCATAACTTAATAGAAGAGGGTGTAACATATGGATGGAAAGTTTTAAAAGAAGCAGTGGGTGAAATTCAAAAATATTTCATGGTGGAGCTGAAAATCATAAACAAGCAAATACCCTATACCATAATCCTCCATTTCAGGCATGCATTAGAATCTAAATTAACAGCTGAAAGGAAAAAGCAAAGACAAGATTCTTTTCCCCTTACAGTATTGTGAGGACACCATTTGACTACAGAACCAAAACAATGCAACATGGCCAACTCCAGCACTCTTAACCGGCTTTTCGCAAGAATTCAATTCAGTTCAATTCTATTTAAATGAAGACAGATGGCAACAAATGCTATTTCAAGACAACGTGTGGCCAAATTCAAGTCAATTATCATCCAATATGTTTTAATCCAATGCATGCTGGTAAACAATGCATAAAAAGATTTGGCACGACTCCTACAACATCCATGCCAGCTAATTCTTGGAAATGAAAAACCAAAAAAGGTTTTGATGGAAGAGAATTGCTTTTTGAATACTTTAATCTCATTACTAATTCAAATAAATCAATGATAACAATAATAAATAATAATACATAAATAATAATATGTTTGTGTAATAATTAGAAATCTTTTGGGAACTTGTGAATGGCCTATATCTGACATTTTTTTAAATCTTGCATTATCATGTAAGGGTTTTTTAAGATATTAAACCTTTTTTCCCTTATCTTGAATCTGGTTAGTTCTCAACATATGATATAGAAATATGAATTAAATTCAAGTTTCTGTTTGCATAAGGACGAAGTGTCCCCTGAGGGCCGAGGCTAAACCATGTGTCACATCTATGTAAATATCACCTAAAGTTTCCAAAGAAGTCCTCCTAGGAACAGCTGGCTTTTGTAGCTATTGTTCCATGTCAGTCTGATCCTGCATCGCCATCTCTGCTGTCTGTCTTTTGTCTCCTGTGATTAGGCGCCATATGTTTCCTCACAGAAATGGGCTGTTGGCCAGATGATGTCAGTGTCTCTCTGCCGCTCCATTTACCTTCCCATAACTCTGCCCTGTGATCTGTCTGTTAGGAGGAGGCCGCGGGGAGTCTCTCCCAGCCAGAGGTGGACGCGCAGGGATGAAGGCACATGCTCTCACACCACACCCGCAGACAGCCAGAGCCTTGAGGCCGTGCGAGCGAGACGCAGCGGAGCGGAATCCATCCAAACATCTATATTCAGGTCAGTGCCTGTGTTTGAGCGCTGGTCGCACAACAGTGCTTTCAAATCCACTTCTACTTCTACGGTATCCTTCCAAGCAGCCTGTAAAAATGTATTCCCCAAACCGGAATCAGGTGATAACACAAGCACAACCCCGAGTACTTCCAAAACAATGAGTCCTCAAAGCCAACAAAACAACTATGTACTAGAAATATAGATAAAATACCATTGTTAGTTTTATATCTGCATACAGTTTCTTTTTCATACTGTGTAAGATAAATGCAAAAGGCTGAGGTAGATAGCTGCTGTTTGTGACTGAATCTAAAAATGCTACCTCATCACAATAAACTGACTGGCAGTGGACCAACAGAGCTCATCTCATGTTGCTGCCAACCAACACACACGGACGGCACATTCACAGAACCACATCAGCTGAGCAAGGTCTCGTGTTAATCTTGACGTCCTTGTTCTACAAAGTGAACGTAAATATTGAGCATGTCTACAGATCATTAATCAACGTGTGCGCAGGGAAAATAAACCGTCTTGTCACAAAATCGACCGATTTATCACTCGGGGAGCGTCGTTGCCCTGTTACACATGTCTCACAGAGCGGCCCGCGTGTCACGGATGAGAGATTTCTCACACCATAGCATGCAATCGCGAGAGTGTGAATTGGCACAGAGGGCTCTCTTCCATTTTTAAAATCGCTGTCTGGCATGAGCCACAGCGCTAAACGCGAGAATCCACCGGGAAACTAAAGCTGCAGCAGGTCACTGAAATGTTAATGGGGAGTTGGTTGGGATTTGTGACGCTGATCGGGGCCTCATATCACTCCAAACCTTTTTGACTGACCTGAGCCATTTTGTTCCTGCTCTCTATGAGTCGGCTTCTACTTGTTCGAATTGGAAAATAACTTTCCTGCCGTATCCAAAGTCACAAACAAATTAAAATAGGCATAAAACGTATGGATGGATGCATGGATGGATGGATGGATGGATGGACAAATTAATGGATGGACAGATAGATGGATGGATGGATGGATGGATAGATGGATGGATGGATGGATGAACGGATGGATGGATGAACGGATGGATGGATGGCGAAACTGAAGAAAACTTGATGTGATGTGTATGTATCCATTACTCTTCAATGAGAACCCCCGTGAAAGGTCTAGCAACATCTGGATTCTGTCTTTAGTTGGCCATTTTTTTGAAGATTTGACGTAAAGTTGAAATCAATTCTAATTGGAGTGTACCAGTTTAAGTGAAAGGCAGAATGCCTCACATTTTATTCTTGAATAAAATGTGAGGCACTTTACTTTATACACAGAAGTTCATGTTTGACCAGTTTCTGGCCAGAGCCTAAATCATCACATCCACTTGATTGTGGCAGGATGTCTTTGGTTTTCAGCCAAAATGAAAATGAAAACGACCTAATCACCCAACCCAAAAATTACCCTGTGAGTTAAAGTATTAAAGGAAATATTAGTAGTTAGTAGTAGTAGTTATTAGTAGTTAAGCGTGTAAGCTATGAAGCTTTATTCCACAGAATAAAAAATGTCCTAAGATACAGCGCGTCGTTTAAAGTTGACACCTGCAAACATTTTTTCCCCATCCCTTTAATGACAGAGAGAGAGGAAATGGAAATAAAAAGAAAGCTGGAGCAGCATGTCTGTGTCCAGACAAAACAGTAACGTCAGGAGCACAGACATGTGGAGGTAACACTGCATTTAGCACTGTGGCAAAGGAGGGTGGCTTCTGGACAAGTGTCCCGGAGGGTGTCAAATCTAAAGATCTCAGTCAACTGCTTACATGCGCACTCAGTTTATGATCTGCTATCAACTAATGACTAATAAATCATGTCCACACTTTCTTTCTCTAGCTTACTTTTCTCAGATCTGCCCCTTTCTGCTTCTCACTTTCAGCCGACGCAAACTGGGCTATTCTGTCTCCATCACCCTCCTACTAAACATATTACCCCCCCCCCCCCCCACACCTACCCCCAGCCCCTCGCCCCTCTATCACCACGCAAGCACAGACACACACTCGCAGTCACTCTTCACAGGAACAATCTGTCCTGCTAATGTGAGGTCGCAGGAGACCATTTTTCCATTTATCAGCCCTCTGGATTTAAATAAAGCCCCATCGGTGATACACAGTTGCCTAGAAACACAATACAATGCATCAATAAAAGGTTTTAACCCCCCCCCCAAGCCGCTTTTGGTCATTCTCACTTCTTTTGTGTAGGAAGTTTTAGGAGGTGTGTGTTTTTTTATATATATCTTTCCTGCTCATTGTTTTAGCTTGGTGCTTTTTAATGTAACCTTTTGGTTCATGTGAAAGATGTCCTGACAAATGTTTTTCTTTTACTGCTAAAATACCTCTACTTATTTGTGATGGTTTACAGCCTTTTTTGTTCCCTTCCTACCCTGCTCTCAGCTGATGCACAGGCTCCGCTGGCATTTACGGGGAGTGCATCCATGACCTAACTGTCCAGACGCGGCTTATGTAACGATAGCCCCCCCTCCGGTCATAGAGCATTTCCTGCCACCACTGATAAAGGATTAATGTGTATTCTTACACTAGCCATTCTCCTTCCTTCTATGTTACCACTAAGGAAGTGAAAACGCAGAGCATGATGGGGGGGAGATGTACACTTCTCTTCTGTGCAAATCTATCCAAATAATTTGTGCAAAGTTTGCCGTGATGAGTATAATTTGCAATATCAAAGGTGTCTTCTTTAAATTAGTTCTGCTTTACCCCAATGTCACCATCTTTATGTGATAATATAAAGATCAAAGTCAAGTCAGGGTCAGCTGTAAGTACACGGATTCAGAAGCATCTGTCACATGTGCTCATGTACTTTTAAATTGCAAATACTCACTAGGTCAGAGATGCAACATCTTTTTGAGCCAAGACCATTCTATTTAGCAGCAAAAAGCCTGAGTAACACCAGCAAAGTAACCACTGTTTATGCTTTTATATTTAGGCATTAGGTATTGCAGTATTTCTATCTGTGAATGTGCTCTTCCCGCTTTCATACAATTGAATGAATAAATATGGAATAAATTCTCCCTTCTCCATCAGAGGTAATGAGAAACATTTTGCTAAATATTACCATGGCAAGACAATCATGGACCGCCTCTGATGTCAGCCTCTCCGTTGGTTTTCTGCCCAGAAACAGGAGAAACGAATGGGAGTGTGGCAGTGTGCCGTCTTAAAGCTCGCAAAAGGCCAATGTGCTTCGGTTGGTCTTGTGATGATTCATAAGATGAGATGCATTCATGTGACCCGAACCAACACTTCAAATGTTGCAAAAGTCGTTTAAGAAAAAAACAAATAGTTATCTAAGAATTATTTCAGATAGCTCCTCTTATGACATTAGATTGTGTTCTGTCATTGTACTGTATTATTAATACCTTCATTTTGTTTTTTTATTTTTACTTCATTACTTATCGGAGTTGGAGTTGAACCTGCACAAAAGGGTACTAATTTAGCTTCCAATGAAGCAGCCTTCCTGTATCCTGACTTAAAGTACAGCTGGCACAGAATGGTAAAAGGAACCTGATGATGCCATTAGAGTGCACCTAACTTTCAGTTGTTTACCTGTTCCTTCCTTAGACTTTGACTTTTTGAGCAAATCTTTTCAAAAGAAAAGTTTATTTTTAGGAAACTGTATTTGGCATCAAATTAAAATTATTGTTTCTTAATTTTTAAAATATTTGAAATTAAATTAAAGTCGTATTCTCTATACTTTATAGCTTCATTTTATTATTGGGTCATGTTTTTGGACGGGTAGAGTAAGGTGGAGTATCCAGAGAGAACCCACACAATTGTGTTGTATCTCACTATACCATATCTCGAAAAAATTGACAATTTTCAGTGTAGCCATATAGATACACCCATGTGGTCAAGCATGAAATACAGAAATTATATTATAATATATGTTATATTATAGCAGAAATACAAATTAAATTCATCTACCATCAGAAGCAAGTTCTCTCCACTGCAGAGCAGCTGTTACTTTGATCTACTGAACTCCTTCTGCTTTGTTCTTTTCCTCGTGCACTATTTTTACATGTTCTTAATCTCCAAACTCTTGGCAGAAACTCTGGGTCTTGTATGTTCAGCACACTCAATGTGTGCACTGTGAGTGGTAAGCACATAAAAAGCAACAAAAAAGAATTGCTTTACTCCTGCATTCTGGCATACTATACGGCAGATGTGTGATCCATCAACTGAGAGTCAGGCAGTGGCCAAACCTTGACATAGAGCTGCTGGAACTCATCCAAGTTGAGCCGGCCGGTGGGGCAGTCCTTCAGGAATCCCTTGTACCACTGCTTCAGCTCGTGTTCGTTAAACTCTGTGTTCTTCACCAGGTCCTCCATCACCTCAGGGGTCAGCTTGCTGTTCTGTTTCCCCATTTTTCCTGAGGAAAACAGACAACACATATCAAGCAGATCAACCTATAACTGTAGATTTAGCTTCTTTCAAGTTCTGCTGGACACACGGAGGTGATGATGCACATCGTCTTGAGGGGAGTGATTCATCAAAAGTCAAACACAGATTTATAGAGGTGCAAAAACATGTTATGCAAACTCAAATATGACGCAACGGCACAGGTTAAATGAGCCCTTCCTGGGTAATCAGCTTCCATTTGTTGAACGCATGTCTTTCTTTTTGTGTCTTGAAGCTGCTGCTCCTCCTAATTGTTTGCTTTTTGGTTTAATTATGTTTTAATTCATACTGGCAAATTAACATAAAAAAACTAATTTGTTATTAGGGAATGCTGAAGAGCATCATTCTATCGTTTCCTACTAGGCATTTTACATAACTCATTCTTTTCCTTTACAACTTTCTTCAATATTCTGCTCTCTAAATTAAACACTGTGGGTTTTGTAAAGGGTACAAATTTAATCTGAAACTGATAGGCCCCCTGAGATTTTTCAGAAAAACTCGAGTGTGTTTTGGTTTCATGTTAAATTTCCCCACAGCTGCCTCTGCTTCTGTCTTCACGGTGCTTATGCTCCCATGTATGGGCCTCGTTGGTTTATCGAACAACCTCTAATCATCATACATTTGAAAAGCACGGTAGAAGTTTTGAAACATTTCTCCTCCTACTCTCTGTTGAAATGCTCGATAAGACCTCTTCAGCGTGAAGACCCACAGCGAGTGCGTGGTGTAGTGCCAGTCGCTCTCTGCATGCATGGTGGAGAGCAGGTGCTGCGCTAATGTACTGTTAGAGGACCTCATCATATGCTCATATTCATAAAGAACCAGCCTAACATTGCTCCACCTTTTGCACGATCGGTTCCCACTGATGTCACTTTTTGGGGTCAATTCCAACTGAATTTAATTTAAATTCCCCAGTTAATTCTAATCCAGATGAAATAAAACCGCCATGCTGTGGGGACTCAACATCACAAAGCTGAACAAAATCCAACTCAAGGGTTGGCTGTAAACTAGGGATTGGTATCACCAGGTACCTCGCGATAGGATACTATTACAATATTTTGCCCACGATGACGATACTTTTGTGATCCAGCGATTCTGCGAAAATCGATATTGTAAGAAATGTCATCCACGATATATCCCGAAGTCTGTGCCAGTGAAGAAATTCTACATTTGTTATCTGCGCTGAATCCATTTCACAGGAATCACAGCCAAGTAAAACAAAATGCATACTGCACAGTGCATGTTTTACAGTTTTTTCTCAGACTTTTCTCAGACTCAGACAGACATTTTACGCAAGTTTAGTTTAGTTTAGTTTAGTTTTACTTTAATGCAATGGACTCCACCACCTTTATGTTTATTTTTTAAATATCGATATTTGGTGCCCCTGTATCGATGACGACCCGCAAGATGAAATGTCGCAATGTATCTTAGTATCGATATTTTAGCACATCCCTACTGCAAGCAACAAATCAGCTCCCGTTAGATATCCGTCGGATAACACTTTTGAGTAAAGACTACTTATCGGTCACCTATTGCCTTTTCTTTTGTCACAACTCAGCTCAGGATTGCTTTTCAGCTCACTATTACTGTACACCCGAGCCATCGTTTTGTCATAACCTCGCTTGACAGCATCCAGGCAAGTTTCCAACCTTGTCCCTGCTTGCAGCTACAGTTTTTCATGAGTTGAAGCGTAATTCTGCCAGAGAACCAAAGTCAATAGTTATATTTTGACAAGTTATCTCATGGGAGCCTCTACAAGTTTACATTTAACATTGTGGTAAAAAAGAACATAAATCAGTGGTACAAATGGCCACTACCATTGTAAAGAACCATAATCTTGAGTACTGTGCTTAAGATTTAAGGCCTCAAATGTTTCTTTTTGACAATCCTTGTATTTAGGAAAGGTTCAGGAGAGTACTCCAAATAACTGCTAGGAGTGAATGTGAGTGTGTGTGGTTGTTTGTCTCTGTGTGACCCTGCGTTGGACTGGCAACATGTCCAGGGTGTCCTTCGCCTCTCGCCCGTCGTTTGCTGGGATAGGCTCCAACCCCCATGCATCCCCATTGGGAATAAGAGGTATAGAAAATGGATGGATGGATGGTTCAGGGGAACTGGAAACATTCCATAGTTCTGCTGCTTTAGGCCTAGATTACTGTTGATCCCTGGACGGGTCTTATGCTGTGTTTTTCCCTTCTTTTTAATCATCACAAAATTTAGCTGGTTGAGAAATATTGCAATCCTTCCTGACTATGGTTCTGCCAGTGTTTTTTCAAGTAAAAAGGGATTTTTTTTCCCCTTACACAGTTGCCTTGTGTGCGCTCAGAGTGAAGGATTTGATTAAAGTGATACACTTCGGTCCACTTAATTGGCTTTGTAAGAACACAGTTTGTAATTCAATTACCGCCATTTCCGGTCCATAAGCCACTATTTTTTTTCACATACTTTGGATACTGTGGCTAAAACAATGATGTGGCTAATTCTTGCATATTTGCAGGTTAATAAGCTTCATGTCGCCAAAGTATTTAGCCTCCTCACATCAGGCCAATGAACTTTCCAGCTGGTTGGAAAAAACACATTAACAGTATGTATTTGTGTAGATTACGAGTGTTTGTGTGTGTGTACAATGTTGTTTTCATTTTAAAGTTAGTGGACGCAAGTTATATTCATGTGCTGAAGATTTTGGTAATTCAGTCTGATGGGATTCTGATTAGATTTTCTCTTTGAAGTTCCTACAAGTTACATGTTGTGATTTTGCGCTATTTAAATAAAACTGAACTGAATTGGACTAACTGCATAACTCTAATAGTTTACAACAGTATCTGTATTCTTAAACAGCCTTGAAATCCAATATTTGATCAAACTTTAAATGGAATATAAGTTGTTGGTTTTGGATTTTCTCTATTGTTGCATCTTTTATAGTCTCTTTGGGACCTTACAGTCTCAAAACTACTTGAACTAATCTGAGTTGTGTTGATTTATGCTGGTGTGTGTGTAGGAGCTCAGACGCATGATTCAATCTTGCTATCTCCTTTGTTGATGGGGAGAAAGAAAACTGAAAAAGTGTCCCATCTGTTCAGAGTTATTCAAAGTTATTCTTAATTTAAAAAATGAATGAACTGAATAATTTTTCATTTTCACTTTTCAGGCTGTTCTGGACTGTATTCGGGCTGCAATCTACCTATAAAAGATAAGCTTACTCTCTCCTGAAATCCTAAATCCAATTTTTAAGTTTTATTTTGTTCTTTTTAGCCAGGCTCGTGACAGCCCGTCAGAGGCACTTAAATGGATTGCAAACTGAGTTGAAACTTAAGGTACATAGTGACTAATAAGGGCTCTTCTCTACCTATGAACAAAATGGGCAAAAATAATAATATTAATATATAAATAATGGGAAAATAAGCTAAAGCATAATACTGATCAATGGCCTGCAGGTAAACTGGTGACATATATAAATAAATATGAAAAAAACTAACTCAAATACACAAGGAAAAAAAATCCCATCTGGAGGAAGTAAGATCGAAAATCATCTCAGCTGGTGTTTTAATAACTAAATACAGTTATTTAGGAGCAGCGTATCCAGATGTTGCAGCATCATGAATACAAGTCTAATCTGCCATATCTTGCTATGTACAAGTATTTGTTTATATTCAAAGAAACAAAACACTGGCACTCAAACTCGACAGATGGAAAATGTTCTTACATTTTTGCACCTTTTCTTCAGAAAGCCATGAATATTTTGAATGCAACTGTCTGTAAGATCTTTGGTTTTATCTCTCAGAATCAAAATATCCATAAGAATAAATGAATAAAAAGCTAAATATCCATAAGATTAAATTAATAAAAAGCTAACTAATGTTCCTCTCTTCCCTATACTGTAAAACAGCCATGCTCAGACAAGCATCTTATGGTGTACTGTTATGGACTAAACCGGACTGACAAGAATAGAAAACTAGCTTCTTCTACTATATCACGTTAAGTCACTTTGACATAAAGTGTGGGACATATCTCTCTGTAACAAGACGGGTCAAAGCTGAAAACTGCAACGGCAGCTGGACACCCTTAAATGATGGGAGAGATGCGAACATCAAGTCCCTGTGTTTGTCAGGCAAGAGTGTCCTTGCTTGTTCACACGAAAAGAAACATATTTGCTTTTCTTATTTCTCATGTTTCGCTCCCATTGAAAAAGATGTTGGGGCTCTTTCTGAGTGCCCCGACAAGTCGTTTCACAGGTCGACGTACCAGAGGATGAACTAACTAACAGACAACACTTCACAGAAAACTTAGCAAAGGACCCAACAATTTTATTTTTAGGCATGCAAAGTTTCGCGTTTTTCATTTCAAGTTTCATGAAATAGATTTTTTTTTAAGTTCTGCATCCAAATTTTTGGTTTCTGATGTTCACTCGCTGCCAAATCTATTCTTGACCAGTGGCGTGCACAGACTTTTTGAATGGCAGGGACCTCACCACTGTAAAGGGCACATTAGACACATTTTATATGTTCCCAGGAGGAGGGCTCTTGGGGACAGTTTAGTATGCGTTTTGGCTCCCAAGGGGGTTCTTTAAGGCACTCTAGCACGCATTATTCGTCCCAAGGGGGCAACTTAGCACGCACTACAGCTCCCAAGGGGGAAATTTGGCACACGTTATGGCTCCCGAGAGGGCACTTCAGCATGTGTATTCAACAATTCTGCCAACAGGGGGGGTAATCCCCCCCACACCCCATTAACCAGACTGTTTTTGAGGCTCCCAAAGTTTTGGTTTTGAATTTGTATAGTTCATATTTTGAGGCCTCTTTTTTCAAGTCCAAAAATACTGTTTAAAAATATCATTGTTATATGTATCCCTTCTTATCAATCCAGTTTTAGGTCCAGTTTTTAATCATCTTTAAGATTAGATATTGAGTCTTCAATTTTTCACCATGAAAGCAAATTAAAAAAACCTGACTGCCATGCTGCACTCGACTCTGCATTGAAGAAAAGTGGAAAATATCTGGCGTAAACCCGAATTGTGGGCTCATGCATGCCTGCCCGCTCCAGGCAGAGGTACTGTTTGCCTTCCTTTGTTCTTTTTCAGTGTGATTTTTTTGTGAATAAGCAAGTCAATGCTCTCCACACATAAAACAAGGACATGTAATGATAATATAGACGAATACTGAGGATACAAAAGGCGGGCATTCAATTTGTAAGGGATTGCGCAATCTGGGATTAAGTACAACGTTACATATCAGTGTATCTGTATGTTAATAAATCCCTTGTAGCTGGGTTTTAAATATCAGCCTGGTCAGTTAGTTGGAAATTCATATCGCCAGATAAAAACACCAAACATTCTCCAAACCGCTTCAGTATGTTCTTTTAAATTCATCAAATCTACATGGGTCATTGCAAAAGTTCAAACAACCAGACGATGCCCTGCAGAAATGTTATGTGAGCTATCACATACATGCTTCATGTTTAATGAAAGCAGCCACACACCATAACTAATTCCACTTTCTAACACACAAGCAGAGCGAGCGTAGGTCTATTGTGCGGTCCCTCTTCAGTTTAGAATCACCACTTAACATGATGCGTTAGGACAGGGGGAGAATGTCACAACGGGACAGGGATGTGAACACCACACAGCTCAGGAGGTCTACCTTAACACCATAGTGCAGCCTGTTGCAGGTCTAAATAATTATATTTAGCTGATTAATTCAAGCAAAAACGACAATACAATGTCTATTTAATAAAAGACTACAGAAAATCAGTTGGTATTTTTTCCCTTGTATGAACTTAAATTCTAAGTTTAACAAAACTCAACGGGGATGGGCTTTTTTCGTGAACAGGGAGGGAGTGCCTAGTTAATCAATAATTTACTTTTTGCCGGTAGTTAGCTGGAGTTGTCTATTACTGCTACCAGCTTGTATGATCTAGGGACTTACATTCTTCTTTTCTACTTTTTACTCTGAATGGATTTGAGCCTAACGGCGTCCATGACTTTTAGCCTTTATGTTATGAGATGTGCTGTATGAGTGTGTGACTCAATGGATGAATGAGGCATTTAATGTAAAAGGGCTTTGAGCTGGAGAACAGAATAGAAAAGCGCTCCATTACTACAGTCTATTTACCATTTCAACTACAGTAATCGCATAGAAATTACATTTACAGCACAAATCGGTGCTATATTTTATTGTTTTGCTTTCCCCTGACCTCAAGTTGCTGTTGTGAAGTATGTGAAAAGACTATTCGGTTGTATCGCATCTTAGACTGCATGTTGGATAAATATATTTATATTTACATTTGTTTCTTTGACCGCACTCTGCATGCCATTGTTCGGGATAAACCTAAAATGACAATACATTAAAGAGTCCCACAAAATCAACGCATTTCAAATAAAAGACAAAGACTGGGAATGTGGCACTGAACGGCGCTCCTCCTCCGTCATGTTCACAGAGTGCCAACGAAAGCTCACACTGCATCATAATGACACGGCTACTTATCACTCTTGCCTCTTGACATTCACTCGGCAAACAGCAGAGCAGAAACTGCATCTGTGATGTCAGCGTGCAGCTGCCGCCTTTGCATTTTCTCGTGCCACCCAGAATCATAACTTGGCGGTTCCAATCAATGCCAAAACTGTTAAGATAATGAAACCAAATGAATCAAACTCTCTGGGAAGGTTCTTAAATCAAGTTTTTAATTTATGATGCTGCACAGCAATGGCTTTCCTTAAATTCCACACAGTGGCTTACTTTACTTGGTGGAATTTGACAGACCTTTCATTTGTCATTTGTATCTAGAAGTGACTGCTGTATACAGGCAGCCCTTATACCTTAATAATCTGACAATTCTTGGCTCACAGAGGCTACCTGTCATTTCCAATCAGCTCCACCACTTATTGGGGCTTTCCACTAGTTGCTACCCTGCATGGATTGGCTTGACTCTGCTCATTTTTTTTGCATTCCCCTATTGGGCTAGTGCCTCCTTCACTTATGACTGTAGGACCTACTCCAGTAGGGATCCCAGTGGGCTGAGCTGGGGCCAACGGCAGAATGCCGGCCAGCAATTGACAGGGGAGTCAAATGACTCAGCGAGTCATCAAAAGCGACTCCTTCATGACAAACCCGCCTATTTCAAAACAGCAGCAAAAAAATTATTTCACTGTTTTTGTGAACGTAGTTATAAATGCCTAATACACAAACACCTAGGTTTAGCCGGTATTTGTCGATTGAACTTGGACATGCACTTATCTAAAGCTTTTCCAGTTGAACTGACCACTCAAAGCACTTCACACTACATGTCATTCACCCATTAACCAACACACCAGTGCATACACGGGCAGCCATCTTGGGCCTTCATTATTGTGTCGTGCCTGGGTCACATACAGTACAAATGACATCGCGGGCTAGCAGAGTCGTTCTTCTGTTTCTGAACTCCCTTGTAAAAGGAAACCGAATTGTGCCAAAGCGAGTAGAGCCAAATAGCCCTGTGTAGGTACAAATGGAAAACCCACAACACTGTCATTTTTCAGAACTGCCTTTGAGTCTGTAAACCTTGGATCAAAAACCATTCATTCCCTAAACCGCTCATTCCCTCCTTTTCAAGTGGATTTTTTTTTTTAAAGAGGAAACTTAGTGATATAAGCAGATGTAAGTGGTTTGCTTTAACAAGATAAATTAGAGGGGGCAGGTATAGGACAGGACAGTTTGGGTCACTGTGCTGTGCAGTGCAGTGCAGGGCAGAGCACCACACTGACTCTGAACCTTAGTCATAGTCCCATCTCATGGAGAGGATCGTATCAAGCAAATAAAGGCCAGGGCGACCGGCCGACAGGTGTGGATCGACAGGAAAATAAATCGTCAAAAGCATTATTTTTTCCTCTTTTTTTTCCAGTGGCGTAATAGACAACAAAGCCGACTCTGAGCCATGCAATGGGCTTGTTACATAACACCGTCCCTTTACCATCATTTGCCAACAGGGGCTGACCTTGAGAGGAAGGCATTGTCCTGGTGAGGCAAGGCAACATCCGATGAAACAAAAACAGTCAGAGGTTTTAAATCAGGGGGAAAAAAAACAATGGACAGATTTCACCCTAATCCCACAGCCCACGTTGTCTAGAAATGTGAATAGAAGAAGTGGGTATGCAACAGTGTTGGAGGGGCTGGAGATTTAGATGTGCTCACTCGTGTCTGCATTGATCCCCCCCCCCAAAAAAAATACAGAAAAGTAGCTATACCCACCAAGGATGGGTAAGGGAGACACACCACACTCCCCCAACTCTCCCTCTCACTGTCTCTCACAGGCAGGCTCCACTTTGACACATCACACCTCGTCGTGCCCTGTCACACCAAGACGTCCCACGCAAGTGACAACTATAACCGAGAAAAAAAATTCAAATTCACGCCGCAACAGCGATGAGGGAGGTAATGCAACTTCACTTTTGATGCTGAGTGGAGAATCCTGGCGTGGTTGAGCGTGCGCGCGTGCGCCCGAGCGCGCGCGTGCGTGCGTAGGCAGCCAGAGTAAGTCCAAGCATGACACAACCATGTTTGTCAAGTGTGTGTGCCAAAAAAAAAGCGAAATAAATGAATAAAAGAAAAAAAAACGTCAACAGGATTTAGCCCAACGCCTGTGCTGAAAAAAAGAGGGGGGATGTGTCGTTATTTGCCATTTGCGTCTCGTTAACACGGACTTAATGCGTCGATAAATCAATGAATCACTCAGGAAATTAAAAGGATGACGCACCGGGTTGCATCATGCTGGTTTACATACAACACGGGAAGACTAACGTGCAAAAAAACACAGTGTTTTCCCCTCGTAAAAACACAAAGCACTCGTCCTACCTTGAGAGAGAGAGAGAGCGGAGTCAACGAGAGAAGTCCGGCGGTCAGGCGTCTTAAGTGGTCTCACAAACCCTGCGAGGACCAGAGAAGAAGCGCTGGGTCTTAAAAGCTCCTCCGTCGGGCCACGAGATAGTCAATATTTGCACTGCGTTTGGAGTGTCAGCTTCTAAAGTGGGCTTATTTGTGTTGTGTGCAAGGGAGGGGAAAGTCTAAAAGTGAGTGGCGACGGTCCGGAGGATGCTGCTGCCGAACGCAAAGTGCCGGTGATGTGCAGAGAGGAGGAGACGGATACTGGGGAGGGGGGGGGAGCGCGCCGTGCCGCTCTGTCTCACTCGCTGCCAGCTTGTGTGGCTGGCTGTTTGAGCCGTGGGTCAGCACACGAGGGAGGAAAGGCACGAGTACAAACACGAACCACCGTGCTCCGCGTATTCACAGCAAACGTTCGTTTCGCTGCCCCCCCAGTGCCCCCCCTCCCCGTCCTCCTAATGCCACAGTCCCAATAAACTACGCTGTCCTCTTGTTTATTGTATCAAGCCAATCAGCTGCACTGCAGTACTTTCGCGCCATTTATTGAGTGGCAGGAGCCCAGTAACCATCGATTCGTTCGCTAATTCAAGAGGACCCAGTGTTGGTGTTCACAAACTAGTCAGCTCATTTAAAGGAAAGGAAAGGAAAGTGAGTATATGGTTGACTAACAGCACGAACGAACTTTAAATGTACTCACTTTACATGGAAGTTTAAGAGGGAAAGATTTATTAGGACATTTTCTGAGTCTACTTATTCTTTTCAGGGTCAGTGTCGAATTCTCGGAACTTGCTAGCCTAAATGGTTCAAGGAACTTTTACCCTCAAGAAAAACTAGGAAAGATCAAGTTACAAA